GATTTTTTTAGAATGATTAGTAGTATGACAAGAGATGGATATTATATTGATAATATGATAATGAGTAAATGCAATGATTAACAGCATGATAAGAGATAAGTATGATAATTAATAATAAATGAAATGGATGAGTCTGTAAAGATATATCTAAAATAGCTGCTTTCGTAAAGCAACTATCCATTCTTTCTATCAAATAGTTGACAGCTTGTTATTAAAAAGAATTTTTAAAAAATACACTGTTTATAGAAATGAGTGAATTTTGGAATGAAAAAATTTATGATTGTTAAATTAGTTGTAAACTTAATTTATGTATTATAGAGCACATATTCAAAAAAGAAAAAAACATACGTACGACTTTTTGATTGTTTATTGCAAAAACAGTAACTGCTGCAGCAAGAAATGAAGCGACAATTAATGAAAGCACTAATAACAATTGCATGCATATTTTTCGACAGTAACATCCAAAGAATGAAATAATTGTCCAAGAAATAGTTATTATCTCGGCGATCAAAGATAAGCACATCAATATCACTACTATCTTTTCCCAATCCTCCAATTTCTGAAGTAGATAGCTGCATTTAAGGTTTCTTTCTTTCAACTTGTTTTGTTAGAAACAATTGGCGAAATGATAAATGTGAAATTATAAAAGTCTAGAATTTATATAGATTACAAAAGCACCGAAATTATTCGATAGTGCAAACTGTATCATATTTTTACAAAATTTAAATTTTAATCAATAACACAAATTAGTGAATTTCATCAAAATCAAGTGAAAATGAATTTTTAGCGCATTTGAGATTTTTGCTATGAAATATGCTAGACACCGGGAATATTGCTTTGTAAAGGACGGTATGTTTTCGGTATGATTGTTTTGGCTTTGGTTTCGATAGTAATTTTTTGCTAGTCGTAGTCGTTAACCAAATCTCTGTAATGGTCTCGAGAAGAGGTATCGAGAGAGCACTAACTGTGATTGAGTCTAAGGATCCCGCAGCTAATCATTATTTTCTTTATTCAAATTTCCTAATTATTTTCAAATTACTTACATGAAACCAATATTTGCAAGAATCGTTAGTTTCATTATTATAACTGACACTGTCAGCTGATGCAATTCGACATAGCAATTCTAATGAACCAAATTCTTTAGGAATTCTGAAATGTTTCAAATCTTCGCTGATATCTGCGGTTGCTTCTTGCAATTCTTTCAAGCCTGAAAATTACGATTGAGATGAACTCTGAAGAGTTCAATAATATGGAATTAATCTTGTAAAAAACTTTTTAATTGAGTTGATGTAATATTTCTTGAATTAGTTAATATAGCATCATCTTCGAAAGTTTTTTTCTCCACGACTAAAAGAAAATGATTTGTTATGTCACTCAAGTTTTGAAACTTTAACTAAAGATATTTTTGCCCAAAATGAACTGGAACTTTCTAAATATTGGTTTCTAATTCCTTTTGCTCATTTTTTTTAAAAATGAATAGCCTGATTTGAAAATATTAAAAACAAGATAAATTTTTACAAAAATAATAACCAGGTAGAAAAATTGATAGAGTGGTTAGACCAAGTGCAATGACCATGAAGATGCCAAATAGAAGTTGGCCAACAAATGAAAGGCACATTGTTCTATTTACATCCTTTGACAATTTTTGGTCATTAACAGATGCTTTGAGAATTCAGCTAACGGTAATTAAAATTAATGGAAATTCAAAAACAGAATTAATTTAATAGCAATACCATCAACACAAACGGATCGGCATCTGAAAAGCAATGCATTCAATTGAGAATTATAATGAAGTTTTCAATTTTTCAACAAATATTGCAATTGCATTAAATCAGTTTGGAACAAATTAAACTGCGATAAGTCATCAATGGAATAATTAGAACAAAAGAAAATTACACAGTTAAGTTCCTAATTTCGGATTGAATCAATACAAAAAAATTGATGGATTATGTGGAAAGAATAACTTGCTTTTGATCTATCTTCTTCCATTACCTTATTTAATTACCTCTTTTTTCTTTCCTTTCTTTTCTCCCTTTCTCTCTCTCTCTCTCTCTCTGTCAGAAATCCGAAATTAATCCATAATACAAAATTATCGAAGTAAATTCATGAGAAATATTCCACAGTAAAAGATATAAATTTATTCTGACAGTTAAACGATAGGTATGTGAATATATCATCTTAACAGTAAATTTCATGAGAATTATAGTTATGCTTATAAAACTGTACTATTTACTCCAATAGTTGAAATCTATTGATAATCTAACCCAATTTACCGGAGGACTGTATCTCAATGTGATCATTTAACCGTAAATTCCCTTTGAACTATAATTATGCTTATAATATTTTATACTACTTACCTAAAATGGGAATATGATAGTCGGCATTTTCTTACGAATATCATGTTTCTACCGAATATCAAGATTGTATTTCATTTTGATCTTTGACGTCTAAAACAGATATATAGGCCCATGTATTCAGTATTGTATCATCATTATTATCTCTGATAGAATCGTCCCCAGTCAACAGTGTTACTGTCACCAACTAATATCTATCCGATCCAATAAACTACATCAGCTAGCGTAGTTTCTTACTGTATCAAAGTCAACAGTGTCTGGAACTGAAGACCCGAATAACGAATCCAAGACTGATTCATCAGATCGTGATCTGATAGAACGATCAACTCCCATCTCAAGGTGGATCCAAAGGAAACCTCTCCTAAAGAAAAAGCCTTCACCAACAAATTCGACTGTGCCATAACACCAAATCAAATCAAACAAACCCATTCACAACACTCCTTTCTCATCTTTTAATCATTAATTTTCAACAATGAATGAGTGTTGAATAAACGAATAAAGCAATGTAAATGCTACGATAATGAATGATTCCACTACCTTAATATTATTCATAAATAATATGCAAAATGGAAACGCTTGTAAAATTGATTAGTAATTTATTTTTAATTAGTGAAAGCTGTTATTATTTAAAGCAAAACAATGTAACTGCTTTTTATGAATAAAATATTTGTGAGTGATCTTATTCGCCGAAATAATTTTAATTCAACTTTGAACTCATAGGTTTCTCAAATAGTGAATGTACTAAAAAAATAGAAAAAAACTGAATCAAAATATTTTTAAAAATTGATTAAAGTATTGGTAATATTCTATTTCATGCTATCATCAACTGTTTTAGATTTATTTTTACAAAACCAGAAAGAAGATGACGTATTGCTTCCAATTAGTTCAAATATATTTGACCTTTATAAATTAATGTCAGACAAAAGTTTCCCATAGCTTAAATTTTTGGACTTCTTGACTTGTTATACCTAAATTAGTCCCATTAATTTAGAGAAAGGTAATAAATGAAGTATGCCAATGACAAAAAAAACTACAAAATGAATCATTCGAGGGAAATAGAGAGAGTAAAAGAGAAGGGGGAGAGAGAAAGAGGAAAAAGGAAGGCGTAATATCTGTTCATGAATCACAGTACGACTAAACTGAGCAAACACTTTCCGCCTGTACTAACATCACTTATTCGAAAGCATTGAGATGTGACAAAAGTTAAGCAATTAATTTTTTGCTATAATGCTTTCCAATTTTCAAAACTGAAAATTTGATAAATAAATTTTATTGCTATTGATGAAACTGGTGGAAAATAAATGGGAAATTTAGTGAACTAAGTAATACAATTAAATAATGATAAATTCGACAGAAAATTAAAACAGTAACAAAAAAATGTCAATTACATTCCCTTTTGTTTCATGCAGCAAAACTTTCATAGTTTATTGCGATTTTTTTCTCTTTCTGAAATTTTTAAAGGCCTTTTAAGCTTTTGTGACTGAAATCGTGCCTGCAGTGAGTCATCAAAAACTTTCAATTTTGACAGAAATACATAAAATTCAAATTAGCTTCGATAAATTCAATGTGTATTATATTCCGGTCAATGGTTCACACGAGAAGGAAATTCAAAAGAGGGACAAAATGTTACGCGAAAAGTTCCACAGCATTTTAATCTCACCTTTTATGTGCAATCATAAATTTAGGTCATCATTTTGCGACATTTTTAAATCGATAAAATTTAATAATTTATTAATTACCGATGTTTTGTCCATATTTTCCTCTGTTTTCAATTTTTTTTCTCTAAAATTTAGACTTTCCAGCTAATTAGAGGCTTTAGAAAATTTTTGGAGTTTATCCGAAGGTAAAATGCTTGAGGGAACAACTACTACTCTGCAAAACCTATGAGAAATTTCTGATCTTTGACAATAGCAAATTTCAAAGCCTGAAAATACGATGAAGGGGCGCCATATAAAAAGTCAGTGATAATTCGCTCAATAAGCCACGGATCAGCGAGGAGCGTATTATGCAAACGATCATACTGCTTGGCTACCTCTCATACAAAGCCATAAAAATACTCTGTTCGTCATTTTTATTTTTAAATGAACAGATCATCGAAAGTATCTGCAAAAAAAAATTTAGTGCCTATCCATTTAACAAGCGTTTTTGCTATTTAAAATT